GAGGAATGACTGGTGGTTTGAACTTCTGGTAAGCAGGCAAATGCCTTAGGCACTATGCCACGAGAGCTCCCTACATCTGTTTTTAATCAATTAATGGTATATAAATGTATCAGCCAGCACTTTTTGATCAGAACAACCAGTAGTAAACCAAGTTGCTATGACTCTAGGGAGAAGCAATGAAAAGTGATTAACTTCTGCAGCCTTTCTCTGGATAAATATACTGAAGTTTTTGTTGATTTTTAAAAAATATTAACAATAAGTCCTGGAAATCCACTACTATCTTTTTGAACTCCTAGATTTCCAAGGAAAAAATGCCCTTATCAACTTCAGAGTAGTTGCTCTCAAACTTGAACATCACCAGAATACCCTGGAGGGCTTGTTAAAATCCAGGTTGCTGGATTCCACCCTTAACTTTCTGATTTGGTAAATCTATGATGGACCCCAAGAATGTGCATTTCTAACAAGTTTCCAGATGGTGCTGAATGGCCAGTTTGAGAGTAATGCTCTAGTTGCTGTCCCAGAACTCTAGCTCTTTAATATATTGCCTCTTGGTCCTTATCTCTCATAACCAATGGACCTGGGTTCTCTCCCAGGATTCAAGCCCTGCCTGGCCTGTAGAGAGGAACTCCTGTGAGAGGAGTTAGGCTCACCAAGAAAGCACAGTCCTGCCTCTGCTACCAGAGCTGCTGCCCACCACCAGGTACCTACTCTGAACTGAAGAGTCAGACCCCTTTACTTAACTGACTTCTCAGTGGCCTCACTGAGTGGTCAATTTCTTCTTTTCCTGGGATCCTATACCAATAATCTTGAGGATGACACAGGACAGGAAACTTTTTGCTCTGTTATGCATAAGATCACCATGAGTCTGACCTGACTCTATGACAATTAGCAACAACAAATTGGAAGAATGCGGACAGAGTGTAGAGCAGGGGACTGCAGGAGGCCTGTTCCTATCTCAGAATCTTTTTCTGAGCTCTAAGTAAGCAAATGTTTATAAACACAGCTGACCTAAATTAGCTAGAGCTGTGGGGACAGAAATAGGAACAGCGAAACTAAACTCTGAGGCGAGAACATGAATTCCCTTGTGAGAAGAGATTAATCTTCCTCCAGGGGAAATGAGTTAGATGTGTGGCTGACTAAATTTATAACCATATTTTAATTTGAAATCACATTAAGTTATTATTTCAATTTAGAAACCCAAATTTCTTGTCAATCTTAAATGTCAATGTCTTTTAAATACATAATGTTGCCATTTGATATTCCCGGAGCTGGCAGCAAAAAAAGGTCCTTTATGTATTTTCCAAAAAGCCAACTAGTGATGGGGTGGGAAGCATTATAGTTCTGCCAGTCCATTAGGGGAGGTCACTAACACCCACATTCTCTGGAGTCACAGGAACAGGCAAATATCTATTCCAAGGCCATGGCAGAGTAGTCTGACATGAAGCCAGAGCCGCCATATTAACACCTCTTAAGCCCCAAGGAGAATAAAAACCAAAACCAAACCCACAGCTGTGGCGTCAGATCCAACTCATAGCGACCTTTCCTTATCTGATGCAGTTATCACTATGGAAGTAGATTGCCCAATGTTCCTTCCACGGAGTGGCAAGGAGAACAGCATGTAGCAAAATACAGTGTGTGAACCTCTTTCGCTTTCTTCCAAAGTCCTTGTTAAATGGACATAGCTTCTCTCACCCTGTGGTAAAAGAATCTGGAAGACATTTTTTCTCCTGGTATCAGAGAATTGGACTGTGTGATTCATTTCACAGGGGAGTAATTAATACTGAGAAGTGATGAATTATAGCTCTACAGAAAATGCAATGTTTCTTAGAACAATTAACAAACCCTGTTAATAAAATTTGAAAAGTCTTGGGCACAAAAAAGACCAAACAACCTCCCCCAAACCCCAAGTCCCATTAGAACCAATTGAGTTTGGAATGTAAAGGATAGCTCAAGAAATATACCATTTCCTTTAGGAAGGACTTATTGAGGAAAAGGATGTGCTATTTTTTTTAACCACTTAACAAGGTAATACTAAGATCAAGTCCTTTTCTGGATCATGGAAGTGATTAGCCACACTAACACGTAATGCCTAATTAAATGACCACCAGGCTATACGACAGGTGAAAATATGTTTGTACTGATTTTAGGCAGATTTATAAGGGTTCACTGGATTTAAAGCAGAAGTTATATGATCTTGTTGCCTGGAGAGAAGGGAATTGTTTTTCAGAAGAGTCTCAATAAAAGTTGAAACTGATCAAAAGCAAGAAAGGACTGCTCCTTACTAAAAGATAATGACAAGAACAAAACCAGAGATGTATGAGTAATGCAGTAAAACTTCACATGTCTCCAAAAGACTTCTCAGAGGCATGGAATGAAGAGAAATGAGAAAAGGACATCTCAGGTGACAGGTTTTACAGAGAAGGCTGTTTTAAGAGTGGAAAGCAACAAACAAAGAAAATCTGATGTAAGACTAGTGAAAAATGTGATATTCAAGCAACATATTCATTTTTCCTTCCTACAAGAAGGGAAGCCTCTTGATCTATGGTCAAAGTGAAGAGCTTGTAATCTATAATTGGCCCAGATGGGCCAGCTAAGATTATTCTGCAAGTTCCTTTGGTGAGGCAGGGAGATTTGTAAGGAGCATGCTTCAGTAGCTTCCCTAGTAGGCTTCTAAATAGAGGATAATATGTTCTACTAGACACCAGAGCTACAACTGACTCTGGTGAAAGTCCAACAAGTCCTTCTGCAAACAGTGCTCCAATTTAGTATAATTTTAAAGGCTGAATGAGGCATACTCACACACAGGCTCTCTCTCTCTCTCACACACACACACACTCACATATGTGCACACATATACACACACAGACACAAGTTCCTATGTGGCCAGCAACTCAACTTTCATGCCAGCCTAGGTTTGAGAAAACATTTCACTGCCCATAGCGTAAGATTGGACATCCATTGGAGCAATATTAGAACTCAGAATCACGTGATTCATCAACTTGTTCAGACTCAATTGTCAGAAAATATCAATGCACTTTTGTGACTTTTCATTAACCTCATTACTTACAATGAAAAGTGATTGTTCATGGCTTTTGTTTAAGATTGTTCCATGAGATCAGGAAAACTAATAACAATGTAGAGTTTTGCAGAATAATGTTCATTTCCTTTGCTGAGTCAAAAGAGTTCACCAAACTCCATAACATACTACACAAAACATTGTTCCACATCCAAGTTTGGCGAGTAGTGACTAGGATCTTAAAAGCTTGCAAACAGCCATCTAGATGCAATGATGGGTCTCTCCTCGTTCAGAACAAAGAATGAAGAAAACCAAAGATGCATGGAGACAATTAGTCCAAGGGACTGGTAAACCATGCAGTCAATCCTCAGCATATATGACTATGACACCAGAAGAATTAGATGGCGCCCAACCACCACTGTCAAACACTCAGAGGAGGATCTATGTAGGAAATCCTGGATAGAGTGGTAGAATAATGTGGAACAAAACTCATTTAAAAAAAAAAAAAAAAAGGACCAGTTTTGCTGGTCTGATAGACCCTGATGCAACCACTGAGACTATGGCCCATAGCTGCCCTTCAGGTCTGGAATTGAACCCATTCCTGTGGTTTCCAGCCAAACAAAAGACAGGTATATGAGGTGAACATGTACACTAGGTAGATACACTCCTTGGAGAGAACAATCATGGGAGACAGAAGGGCTCTCTATGGACAGGGAGACAGCTCAAGGAGCAGGAGTGCATGGAGGGAAGGATACAGGGAAGAGGTAACTATGGGAAGGAAGTGGGAGGGGAGCTGTTGCATTGTGGGAAATTGTAGTCAATGTCATGAAACAAAGTGTATGTAAACTGCTGTATAGGAAATGAATTTGCTCTGTAAACTTTCACCCAAATCACAATTAAAAAAAAAAAAAAAAAGTTCACCAAAGTCTCATGACACAGTCATGAGAAACAGCATATGTAGTAGAAAAAGAAGAGCTGGATCCCACCAGTTGACACTGATGCAGTCATCCAGGTTCTTTAAAACTATAGTGTGCTGTGATAGAAGGAGCTCTGATGGTACAGTGCCTAAGGCATTGGATTGCTAACCAGAAGGTTGGTGGTTCAAATCCACTAACTGCTCTGCAGAAGGAAGATGGGGCAATATACTTCTGTAAAGATATTGCCTCAGAAACTCAATGGGAGTCACTATGAGTCAGAATTGACTTGATGGCTGTGAGTTTGGTTTTTGGTTTTGTGCTACGATGGGCTAGTGTCTCCTAGGGGTTCAATTTTTTTTTTTAATATCATGCCTTGAAAGAGGCTATGGATATCAGAAAACCTATGCTCCTAGCCCTGATTGTGTGACTCTGTCAGTCAATATCTGTGGACCTCAGTTTCCCCATTCTATATGGAGTAGGAGAAAGACGTCATGGTCTCCAAGGTCCCTTCCAGCCCTCAAAGTCTGGTTCTGTGTTTCTCACTCAAAATCTTGGTTGTGTGTGCCTGATCAACCAGTCATTATCTAATGGCTTTGGATAAGCCATTTGCACCTCATCCAAAATACAAATTCCTTCCTACAATATAAACATCACATGCAGATCACAGCTATCACGAGGCTTTTACATCCAAGGGCAGAGTGAAGCCAAAGAAGGTCTTAGCTATCCCAGTCTACTTCAAAAAGAAGCATTACTTCCATCTCTAGTTTCCTACAGGCTCCTCTATTTCCACAGGAACTTGGAATGCCCTGCCTCCACCATCTCTTCCTGTTGCATATTCTGCCTCTACTGCTTCTCCTGTTTTAGGCCTAAATCCTGCCTTTCTATATATGCCATGGCTTTAGGAGAGCTGGTGTCCTCTAGGCCTTTCCTCTTTAATTGCTTGTTGGCCTGATAAAGGCAATCACTTCCACATTCTGCATAGCTCAGCAAGCACACCAGCCAATACTCTGATGCTGATTGATGCTTCTAACCCCTACTCTGCTCATGCCTTTGTTTTTCTGTTTCAGCACTGAAAAGTCCAACTGAATTCCATGAGCAAAGGAAAAATTTGGATAGTGACAAGGTAATTTTTGCAAACTGCTTATTCCTGGACTCAGCCTACAGGGTGTGCATCTCTAAATGCTAAACTTTGACTAAAGCATGTAGAATTCCTAAAGTAAACTCAATCAAGATGCCTGCCTCAAAACTATATGGAATCTGACTCTTATTAACTGAAAGCCATTGAAATAGTATCCATTATATTAGCTTTGAGAAGCAGTGGTGGTTTAGTGGACCCTCTCTTTACAGGCGTGAGATCCAAATTCAATTCTCAGCCAATACACCTCTTGCACAGCTACTGCCTAACTCTCATTGGAGGCTTCTGTGTTGCTATGATGCTGAACAGGTTTCAGCAGAACTTCCAGGCTAAGACAATAGGAAGAAAGCCCTAAGTGATCTACTTCTGAAAATCAGCCAACGAGAATCCTATGAATCACAACAGTCCAATCTGTAACCAATCACAGGAATGGCCCAGGATCAAGCAGCATTTCATTGTGTTGAGCAAGGAGTCACCATGAGTGCATACTGACTTCACCACAGCTAATAATAATAACAACAATATTAGCTTTTAATATTAGTGATATTTTTAGATTATTTGTTAACTGTTAGTGTTATTTTTTAATTTAAAAGAATGTTCCCAATCAACCATGGTATTTCAGAAGGGCAGTATTTGCACAGGGAGATAGCTCAGAAGGCAGGAATGCATAAGAAAGAAGGGCACAGAGAAACGGTAACCACAGGGAGGAAGTAGGAAGACAGCTGTTACAATATGGGGATTTGCAATCAATGTCATGAAACAAAATGTGTATGAACTGTTGTATGGAAAATGAATTTGCTCTGTAAACTTTCACCCAAATCACAATTTAAAAAAAAAATGGTCCTAATCTTTCTCATGTGGGGGGCTCATGGCACAATCAATGCCCATGGAAGCAACAGGCAAGAAATGAAACAATGTATTGCACTGGGCAGATCTGCTGCAAAAGACTGCTTTAAAGTGTTAAAAAGCAAACACACCATTTTGAAAACTGAGGTACACCTGATCCAACTCATGGTATTTTCAATCACTTCATATGCATGTGAAAGCTGGATAATGAATAAGGAATATTGAAAAATAATTGATGCCTTTGAATTATACTGCTGGCGAAGAATATTAAATATACCATGGACTGCCAGAAGAACAAACAAATCTGTCTTAGATGAAGCTCAGCCAGAATCCTACTTAGAAGTGAGGATGCTGAGACTTTGTCTCACATACTTTGGAGATGTCAGGAGGGACTAGTCCCTGGAGAAGGATATCATGCTTGGTAAAGTGGAGGGTCAATAAAGGAAGACCCTCAGCAGTATGGATTGACACAGTAGCTGCAACAATGGGCTCAAGCATAGCAATGACTGCAAAAATGGCACAAGATCAGGCAATGCTTCATTCTATTGTATACTGGGTTGCTGTGAATCAAAACTGACTTGATATCACCTAACAACAGTAACACAACATGGCAAGGATGCACCGACCACCAAAAAGACATGAAAAAGGAAAGTAAAGTTGGTTTGCAAGTTGCTTTACTTTTCAATACAGTCCTTTCTTAGCAACAGTCAGACTTTTAAAAATCCAATTCAAACATAAGGCAGGATTTATGGAAACAGCATATTTGCAGGAAGGGTGTGTGTCAGGGTTGTGTCCTCTGACCATATTTATTCACTATGTATGCTGAGGAAATAAGCCAAAGAGCTGGACTATATGAAGAAGAATACAGCATCAGGATTGGAGGAAGACTCATTAACAACCTGCAATATACAGATGACAAAACCTTACTTAGTGAAAGTGAGGATGACTTGAAGCACTTACTGATAAAGATCAAAGACTATAGTCTCCAGTATAGATTACACCTCAACAGAAAGAAAATAAAAATCCTCACCACTGGGCCAACAAGCAGCATCATGATAAATGGTGAAAAGATTGAAGTTTGAAGTTGTCAAAGATTTTATTTTTCTTACATATACAATCAACACCAAAGGAAGCAACAGTCAAGAAATCAGATGATGTATTGCACTGGGCAAACTGTAAAAGACTTCTTTAAAATGCTGAAGAGCAAAGATGTCTTTTTGAAGACTAAGGTGTGCCTAAGCCAAGCCATAATATTTTCAATTATCTCATATGCATGTGAAAGCTGGACAATGAATAACGAAAACCGAAGAAGAGTTGATGCTTTTGAATTGTGGTGTTGGTGAACAATACTGAAAATACTGCCAGAAGAATAAACAAATCTATCCTGGAAGAAGTGTACCCAGAATGCTCCTTGGAAGTGAGAATGTCCAGACTTCATCTCATCTACTTTGGTCATGTTGTCATGTTGTCAGAAAGGACCATTCCCTGGTGAAGGATATCATGTTTAGTAAAGTGGATGGTCAGTGAAGAAGGGAAGACCTTCTGCAAGGAGGATTGACACAGTAGCTGCAACAATAGGCTCAGGTTTAGCAAGGATTGTGAAGAAGGCACATGACCAGTGTTTTGTTCTGTTGTACATAGGTTTGCTTTGAGTCAGAGCCAACTTAACATCACCTAACAACAACAAGCTCTGGTGGCGTAGTGATTAATGCATTTGGCTGGTAACCAAAATTTCAGTGATTTGAATACACCAGCATCTCTGCAGGAGAAAGATGAGGGTATCTACTTCCTTAAAAATTTACAGCCTTGGAAACCCTATGAGGCAGTTCTACTCTGTCCTAAAGGTTGCTATGAGTCAGAATCTACTTGATGGCAGTGAGTTGTAAAAGCAAAAGGAATTCTATTTATTTTCCTTTTTGTTTTTTGCTTGTTTGTTTGTTTTGGCTTTCTTTTTTCTTTCTTTTTTTTTTTTAAATCATTTTAGGTGAAAAAATTAGCATACTTTCCACAGCTTCATAACAAATATCTGAAGCCCGATTTCATTAATTATATATAAGTACTGTTTCACAAACATCAGTTGTTTATTGAATGAGAAGGAAAGACAAAGGGGGTATCTTTGTGCTGGGATTTCTTTGTCTAAGAGTTTTAGTCTCATAAGTAGTCTGTAGTTGGAGATGAGGAGCAGGTTTCTACAACTCTTCAAAGTTGCTTGCAAATGGAAGTGAATTCCACTACTTGGAGAATAACAAAGAACAGCAAACTTTCTTCTCCCAAAACTGTAGTGATCTCCAGATCCCTCTCAGGTGTCAAATAAGCAAACCCAAAAACCAAACTTAATGCTCCCAAAAGAAGATCTAGTGAGATAAAAGTCAAGAACTAGAAATCAGGAACAGGGCAGTGGTGGTTCAGAAGTAGAATTCTTAGGAGTCACTATGAGTCAGGTGGACTCCATGGCACATATCAACAATGAACAACACCCACCAGCCACTCCTTGGAAGGAAGGTTGGGCAATCTACTTCCATAGTGATACTGCCTCAGAAACCCAAGGAGGGGTTGCTATGAGTTATGTCCAACTTGACAGCACATAACAACAACAACAACAACATGCTAGGAGGAGGTGCTCTGGTGGCGTAGTGCCTAAGGCATTTGACTGATAACCAGAAAGCTGGTGGTTCAAACCCATCAGCCACTCCTCGAAAGGATACCACTTTGGAAACCCAAGGAGGGGTCGTTATGAGTCAGGTCCAACTCACAGCATATAACAACAACAGCAACAATGCTAGAAGGAGTTCTGATAGCAAAGTGCCTAAGGCATCTGACTACTAACCAGAAGGAAAACTGGGCAATCCACTTCTGTAAAGATTTAACACCTCAGAAACACAGTGGGGGTCTCTATGAGTCAGAATCGACTCATTGCCAATGGGTTTGGTTTTTTTCCATAGGCTAGACCAGAAATTCAAGCTGGATTCAGAAGATGGGAGAGAACAAAGGATATCATTGCTGATGTCAGCTGGATCTTGGCTGAAAGCAAACAATACCAGAAAGACAGTGATTTATTGACTATGCAAAGTCATATGACTGTGTGGATCATAACAAATTATGCATAATATTGCAAAGAATGAGAATTCAAGAACATTTAATTGTGCTCATGAGTAACTGGTACATAGGCCAAGAGGCTGTCATTCGAACAGTACAAGGGGATATTGCATGGTTTAAAATCAGGAAGGGTGTGCATCAGGGTTGTATCCTTTCACCATATGTATGCAATGTGAATGCTGAGCCCAAGCTGAACTATATGAAGTATGAGGCATCAGGATCGGAGGAAGGCTCATTAACAACCTGCAAAATGCAGATGACACAACCTTGCTTGCTGAAAATGAAGATGACTTGAAGCACTTACTGATGGAGAATAAAGAGTACAGCCTGCAGTATGGATTATACTTCAACATAGTAAGAAAACAAAAATCCTCACAACTGGACCAATAGGCAACATCATGATAAATCGAGAAAAGACTGAAGTTGTCAGGGATTTCATTTTACTTGGATCCACCATCAACACCCATGGAAGCAACAGTTAGGAAATCAGACATCATATTGCACTGGGAAAATCTGCTGCAAAAGACCTCTTTATAATGTTAAGAAACAAAGATGTCACTTTGAAGACTGTTGTTGTTAAGTGCCGTCGAGTTGGATCCGACTCATAGTGCCCCCTCCTTGGGTTTCCAAGGTGGTACCACTACGGAAGTAGATGGCCCAACTTTCCTTCTGAGGAGTGGCTGGTGGGTTTGAACCACCAGCCTTCTGGTTAGCAGTCAAGCACCTTAGACACTATACTACCAGAGCTCTACTTTGAAGATTAAGCCATGGTCATGTATTTTCAATATTCTCATATGCACGTGAAAGCTGGAAATGAAAAAAGAAGACTGAAGAAGAATTTATGTTTTTGAATCGTGGTGTTAATGAAGAATACTGACAATACCATAGACTGCCAGAGAACGAACAAATCTGTCCTTTGTCTTACCTACTTTGGTCATGTTGTCAGAAGGGACCATTCCCTGGAGAAGGATATCATGGTCGGTAAAGTAGAGTGTCAGCAAAAAAGAGGAAGACCTTCAACAAGATGGATTGACACAGTGGTTGCAACAATAGGCTCCAGAATAACAAGGATTGTGAGGATACCACAGGATGGGCAGTGTTTTGTTCTGTTGTACATGGGGTCGCTGTGAATTGGAGCCACCTCAATGGCACCACACAACAACAACAACATTCTAGACTTGGATTGGATCCCCATCCTATGTACCGCATGTGCAGCCACTATGTGTCTATCAGTGGAGGACTGATGTTGTACGTTGCTGAGCCAGCTTCAAAGGAGCTTCCAAACAAAGGAAGAAAGGTCTGATGATCTACTTCTGAAAATCAGCCTTACGGATCACAAGCATCAGTGGTCTATTTGATGGCAGCTAACAACAACAACAGCAAAAATCAGGGATCTGAGGTGCAGTTTTGCCCTTGCTATTGTCTATGTCATCTCTACAGAGAGCTCCATGATTAAAGAGATGATGAAACTCCATAAATAACACATCTCTAAGTGTCCTTCCAACTCATTGTAGGTCTGAATTTACATGCTTTATATTCTAGCATTTCCTAAAAGAAAAGTTAGGTGAATAAAGGGAGAAGAGTGTATGTGATCATGTTATACAAGAAAGATTTAGGCAATATTTCATCTCTGAAAACCTAGTGATTTTGGGACTGATATAAAAGGACTGATTATATTACAAGCAGCTTGGTATCATCACCATTTTACTTATATGTTCCTTACTTAGTCCCTGGAAGTATTCAAGTTTGTAGCCCTGACATAGACCAAAGCTATCTACCTCTTAATCTTATTTGGCCATCTTAAAATTACTTCAAATATTCCTTCATCAAAAATTAGGAGACCATCATCTATGACAACCTTCAGAAGTATTTCCCTGACTCAGTAAATACTCAATGATTTTAGCTGAGGGAAAATAGTAAATAATGTTCTCAAATTCAGGAATATTTAAAAGAGAGAGAGAGAGAGAGAGAGACCAGGGATATTTGTACTTTTCCCCTTTGAGAGAACCTGAGATGTTTTAAAGTTAAACCTAAATGATTCAACTATACATCTTATTTACTGACACTGATTCCAGAATTTATTCTATGTTTGTCTTCTACAGACTGAGGACCACTTGAAGCACAAGGTCAGAAACAGATCAGAAAGTGCTGACTTGGTTAATATGCACATACTCCAAGGTAAGACTACACTAAATCCTATGCCAGGAGGTACTCATTGAATGGTGGGTTATGTTTCTAGAACTCTCTGTCTCTTTAAAATGTCTCCTCTGTCATGACAAAGCAATGTTTACATCACGTAAACAATCCAAGTGGGAGGCTATACAACGGTTAAGAAGGTATCAGATTTGGGTTCACATCTCAGCTGTGGCACTTCCTAACTATGCAGCAAACAAACAAACAAACAACAACAACAAAAAAAACAGTTGCCAAGGAGTCATTTCTGACTCATGGCAACCCCATGTATGTCAGAGTAGAACTGTGCTCCATAGAGTTTTCAATCTTTAATTTTTCAGAAGTAGATCCCTAGGCCTTTCTTCCAAAACACCTTCAGGTGAACTTGAACCTCCAACCTTTCAGTTAGCAGTTAACCATTTGCACCACCCAGTGACTTCTCCTAACTCTAAGGCCTGGGAAAATTATGTAAATTCTCTGAGGCTCAGTTTCCTTATATGTAAAATAGAGACTATAATAGCTGTAAAACGGAGATAATAACCTCTTAAGATAAAATGCAATGATTAAATGAGGTATTATATTCTGAATTGCCTAGGTATTATATTCTGAAATATCTAATGCATAGGAAATGTCCAACACATGTTGCCAATTATTATTAACCTGGAAAATATAAATGTATATATTCATTTGGGAACATGATTGGGGTCCACTAGCTGCTTCTATAGTCAGTAGGTAATTGCTATGCAAGCAGTGGCATCACTAGAAGTGTTGGGGGGGGTGCAAACCACATCGGGTAACACTGCCAGAGAAGGTGAAACCAAAATGAATGTGAATAAGATTTTTGTGGAGTGCTTCAGGAGAAATGTATTGTTTTTATAAAACTATTGCTGTACTTAGTTAAAATAACAAAAGCATTTTTCATAAGCCCAGCTTACATGTATTGATATATCTACAAGGCTAAAATTCTATGCTAATTTACTTTTTGAATCACCTAATATACTGGGTCAGAGCTGTCATTATTACCCAATTACAATGACACCTTGAGACGTGGTTTTGTCTGCACGTGCTATAAGCACATGCTGTTATTTTGATGATGCCAGTGTTTTTATAGTCACTGATTTTATCAAATTTTCTATATTTTAGCTACAATATTGTGGTTATTAGTGTTTATGAACCTATATCAGTAACTTTTTTGAGAATGAAATAGTAATTAAAGGAAAGGAGAAAATTTAAAAATAAAAAAGATGTCTGCTCAGTTTCTAATAATGTCATTCAATGCAGAAAGCTTTTACAAAACAATTTTATTGGTATTATTCATGTAATAAAAAATATTACATTTAAACAATTTACAAGTATATTTATCATATATTATTCTATAATTAAAATCGATAGTAAACATTAGTAAGGATTCCATATGGTCTGGTATAGGTGGAGACTCATGTATGGCTGGGGGTGGTGACACCATGAGTTAATCACACTGGGTGATACCAACCTTGGTAATGCCACTGAATGCAAGTCCTGGTGTGCAGGAAATGACAATCTGAAAAAAATTGATGCTGATCACCAAGTTCTCCTGGGGTGCCATAACTATGTTGGGGAGTGTAAAATGGGAGAAACACCTTACTGGCCTTGATAATTTGACATCTGACTGAAAAAGGAAACACTTCTGCTCTGTGAGCTCCCTTCATTGAGATAGGAATCCCCTAGGTCACTGATCCTGACCTTCAAAGAGTCCAAACCCACAGAAGGACAAATAATACTGTATTAGTTCACTATTGTAAAAAGTTAAGGGAATTTTTATATATGGAAGGAAACTTTCTTTGTTGGGGACTAAGGATGGGAGGGGGGTGGGGGAACACTGCTACATAGGTAGAGACAAATATTGATTTCAGTGAAGGGAAGGGCTATGTACCAAAAGTGAGTAATCAACACAGTGGTACTGAGGAAAAGGAAGACAGAGAGAGGTACAAGGGAGGTACAGACAACAACGATGTATAGTATACTTTTTGCATGTATAGTACTACTGCATTGTCAGTGATGGCAAGCATTGATCTATGGATGGATAGATGAGTGCACAGGGTGAATGATCAGGTATGTCTAGGCAGCGGGGAGTATGCCCATGACCATGTATAAGGCTGGCCAAAAATGTGTGTATTTGTAGGTGCTGTAAGAATGTCTAGGTTTATAGTAGAACAGACAAAGGGCAAGGTTGTGGGCACTGCTTGGTCACAGCCAGCTACCCTGAAGGAAAAAGTAGTTGGACCTGTGGGCTCGGGACCATGGTCACTAGGGACATCAAGCTCAATCGGGGTAACATACTACACAAAAACATTGTTCTACATTCTTCCTTCTGTGGTGAGTAATGACTGGGATCTTAAAAGCTTGCAAGCAGCCATCTAGATGCAATGATGGGTCTCTCTTTATCCAGAGCAAAGAATAATGAGGAAAACCCAAGCACCAAAACAATTAGTCCAAGGGACTAGTAGACCATGCAATCCTCATCCTATATGACCATGAGACCAGAAGAACTGGATGGTGCCCAGCTACCACTGTCAACAACTTGGAAGAGAATTGTTGTAGGAGATCCTGGACAGAGTGGGAGCACAATGTGGAACAAAAGTAAAAATCATTAAAAAAAAATTAAAAAACCACCAGGTTTCCTAGTCTGTTAGGGCCTACTGAGACCCCTGAGACTATGGTCCCTAGTTACCCTACAGGCCTGGAACTGAACTCACTCCTGTGGCTTCCAGCCAAACAATAGACAGGCGTGAACATTTATATTGGGTAGATACACTCCTTGGAGCAATTATTCATGGGAGAAGGAAGGGCAGTGTTTACACAGGAAGACAGCTGGGAGTGGGGAGAGTGCATAGGAGGGAAGGACACAGGAAAGAGGTAACCTCCGGGGAGGAAATGGGAAGAGAGCTATTATATTGTGGAGAATTGATGTCAATATCATGAAACAAGTTATATATGAACTGTCATATGGAAAATGAATTTGATCTGTAAACTTTTACGTAAATCACAGTGAAAATAAGAGTCCAAATCCTAATAGGACAGTTTGTTGTAAAGTATTATTTCATTGCATGAACACTGTATTGGATGTCTACTAGGGGCTGGCTTTTATGTGAGATCCTGTGGATACAGTGATGAATAAGATTTCTCCCCACAAAGGATTCTCATAGTATAATAGAGGAAACAGAAATGAAACTCAGCTATCATAATCCATCATGAAAAGAGAGAAAATGCATAGTGTTGTGGATACATGCAGGAGAATCAGAGAAAGGGGGCATCTAAATCAGACCAGAAAGAAGAAGAGTGGGGAAATGAGCTAAAACCTGGAAGCTGAGTCAGGAAAAGAAAGGCAGAAGGGTATCACAGGCCAAGGGAACAGCATGTCTAGAGGCACTGAGCACTGTGGCTCTAGCATGTAGATTTCCTTGCAAGACTCTATATTACCTTTAAATAGCATGGAATTCCTGAAATATAATGAAAGTTGTGAATATTGGTCCTTTGATCAGCATCACTTCTGCTTTAGTCTGGTTTCTCAAGACCTAGCCTCTTCCAATCCTGGAATCGGTGGAGTGTTATCAAACAAAGAACTGTCTCCAGAATGCTTAAGAACATTGACAGGGTTGGGAAGAGAGGAGAGGACAGTTTAGAACTCAAAGGAAGGCCTCAGTAGATGTGAGGCATTGACCTGGAAAAGGTAACCAATGGGTACTGAGTATTCTAAGAGGGATAAGGGAGGGTGTTTCCCAAGAAAAGGTGACAAATAGAAATTTTACCTCTTTGCAGTGGTGTCTAGCAGCCTGGAAGCAGCTGTTGTGTCAGCATCTTCATAATTCACAGCTGTACAAATAATCAAAGAAATGCTATTTCAAATGAGATATAGACTTCAATTATCAAATTGGTAGATAAAAATAAAAGTATTATGTGGCAAGAGTATGGGAAAACATGCATTCTCATACACTGCTGGTGGGAGAGCAAGTTGGGTCAGCATTTCTAGAAGGCAATTTGGCAACATGCATCAAGATCCTCAAAAATGTACCCACCCTTTAACCCAGTGATTCAATTTCTGGCATTTTGTCCAAAGAAAATAATCAGGCATACTTAAATACAAGGATGCTTATCATGGAATTACTTGATGGCAAAAAATTGAAAACAGTGAAATGTCCAATAATAGAGGACTGATTGAATAAATAATGGAATATCCATATGATTGAATATCTTGTACCCATTAAAATAAGGCTTTCAAAGAATAACTATTCAATGAGAAAAATCTTACAGTATTATGTCTGATGAGAAGAGCAGAAGGCCCAACTATATTTAAAGTGAAATTTAGGGAAGAAAAAATAAAACCATAAACTATATTTATAGTCAAATTCTTGGAAAAAAGGAATATACATATAACAATAAATACAAATAGCTTATAAAAGACACCCACTGTAAAAAAAAGAGTAGACTCTATGTGGTGAGTTTCCCAAATCTTTCATCTACTTTTGTATACTTTTTTAATGTTTTCACTATTTTGACAATGAGTATATAGTATATAGGTCTTAACTACAACAATAACTAGTTGGCTAGATTTTCACCCAAGATCTTTCACAGAAATGAGGTAGGACCTAACCTAGAGCAGAGATTCAGTGTCAGCCGTATACAGGTGGATTTAAGACTTTGCAGGTGAACTTTCTCACCCCCAGATGATGAGAAACTGCCTGTAGGAGAAATTCAACATTAAAAGTGAAATAGCATAAAGTGAACTTTTGAAAAGCAGGAGATACATGTATGCCATTTCTAATCCAATAAAATTCTACTTAAAAAATCCCTCTGTTTAATTAATTAATTAGCCATTTTAAAGGACTTGTTTTTTTTTTCTTTCATGACTGACCAGGACATGTGACATAGTCAGTATCACAGCACTGGCAAGTCTAAACCCCTTAAAAAGTCTCATTACAACTAGTTATTATACAACCTACCAACCAACCAGTAAGTGTCAAATCTATTCTGACTCATGGTGGCCAGATGTGAGTCAGAGTAGAACTGTGCTCCACAGGGTTTTAAATCTCTGATTTTTTGAAAGTAGACTGCCAGACCTTTCTTCCAAGGCACCTCTGAGTGGAATCAAACTTCAAGCCTTTTGGTTAGTGGACAAGCTTGTTAACCTTTTGTACCACCCAGGGACCCCAATTATAGTGGTAGGCAAGATTTACTGGGGGTTCACCCTGTGCCAGGCACAATACCAACAATACCAACCAAACGAATGCACCAAAAAAAAAAAAAAAGTGCATTCTTTTCCAAAAGCTATAGCTCAATGTCAGCAAGCACCTTAGGCGCCATACATTGCCTGCTTATAGAATCACCAAATGGCATATTTTTCCACAAAGCCTCACAAAGCAAGTGGGCCTGATTCTCTATTTACCTTTATTTGGAAGTATCTTGTCTTTGGTGCTAATCCATGTGAAATAATGATGAGTGCGTCGAAAAATTATTAGGATGGTAAAGCACAGGATGACACAATGTTTCATGACCACAAGCAAAAGAATATAATTTTTTTCAAAAGACACCAAATTCTAGATTTAATCCTTTTCGTTTCACCCCTTCAGCCTCCACAACAGAGAGATCCATTCCAACCACTCAGATGAAGCTGAAAAGAGCCCGCCTTGCAGATGATCTTAATGAAAAGATTGCTCTCCGGCCAGGGCCTCTGGAGCTGGTGGAGAAGAATATACTCCCTGTTGATTCTGCTGTGAAAGAGGCCATTAAAGGTAGAACAAATGGCTTGTCTCTCCCTAGTGCTCAGAAACTCTGAGGCGATGGTGGTTCTGATGACCTAGGGGCTCTAATGGGGATAGCCTCTCATTACATAAGAGTCAAGCATTGAGTTGCTGTGCGAGGATTTTCCCCATAAGCAGAGGTCCTGGGAGTGAGGAAGGAATCCTCATACGTCCACTCACCCTTGAAATCTCGTACAAGCTGGGTCAACAAAGGTCAGTTTTGCTCTAGGCAGCCAGGTTAAGAATGGGACTTAATTTAATCCTTAAAATATCTTTCCTATAAAGTTCTTGAAACCTCATTGCTTGGAAGTCACAGCTTTCTTTTACTAGTTGTCATCGTGTCAACTTTGACTAATGGCAGTCTCATAAGTGTCAGAGTAGAGATGTGTTCCATGGAGTTTTTAATGGTTGATTTTTTAGAAACAGATCACAAGGCCTTTCTTTCAAGATGCCTCTCGGTGGACTTGAATCTCTAACTTTATGGTTAGTGGCAGAGGGTATTAACTATTTTTACCATCCAAAGACTTACCAGCCTTCGTTAGCCTCCTTCTTTTAAAAGGGGGTGGACTAGTAACAGTGGAAAGAACACTGGATCAGATACAGAATACCTAGAGTGAAACCAGTTTGGCACTGTGTGTTGAGGCTTGCCCAAATCACCACTTCTCTCTGAACCTCATTTCCCTCAACACTGAAATGGAGATAACAATACCCATCATGCCACTCACTGGCTGTTGGGAGTGAGGTTTGGGTCGTATAACATGTGAAAATCTTCAACAACGCACGTGTGCTTTGTAAGATTGAAGTACAAATAAATACTCAAGGAAACATCAACATTAATTCTATCATTGTAAACTATGTAAAATCATCTTTTGAACTTTTTTGAACAATTGAGACTAAATAGACCCAGACAGTCTGAGAGTACTAAATTCATTCATAGAGGAATTAGATGGGAAAAGTACGGGGGAAAAAAGATCTTGGTAGTAGATCCCACTTTCTAAGGGTGCTTAACATCTCATTGGCAAACTTCAGTATCTCAGTTACACCACAGAGCCCTGAGGATTAGCCATTGATATTTATAAGCAATATCTAGCTAATATTTTGACATGTTGCCAAAAAGTATGTATAGAGGCAGTTTATCAAACTTATTGTAACTATTACAAACTTATTCTAACAAACTTATTCTAACATCTTCCTTTCACCTAGTCAGCCATTCAGAGCCTACATCAACTTTGCCTTTGCAACCTGAAAATTTGAAAGTATGAACCCTAAGAGAATCAATGTACCCATCCATTGTTGTTGTTGTTGTTGTTATGTGCCGTCGAGTCAGACCTAACTCATAGTGACCCCTCCTTGGGTTTCTGAGGTGGTATCACTATGGAAGTAGATTGCCCAAGCTTCCTTCCGAGGAGCTGGTGGTGAGTTTGAACCACCAGCCTTCTGGTTAGCAGTCAAATGTCTTAGGCACTATTGTTGTTGTTGTTATTTGCCGTCAAGTTGGCCCTGACTCATAGCTATCCCTCCTTGGGTTTCCGAGGAAGTATCACTACGGAAGTAGGATTGCCCAACCTTCCTTCTGAGGAGTGGCTGGTGGGTTTGAACCGCCAGCCTTCTGGCTAGTAGTCAAGTGCCTTAGGCACTATGCTACCAGAGCTCCTTGGGCACTATTAGCACCCACTAAATATCCCATGGTAATTTCCCCCTTTCTTCACTCTCCCTCTACCTCTAAACATCCTGTGCCTTTGGACTTTTTTGACTTACCTTGAGCCCTTAAAGGTGCACTATCTTGACCTTACTCAATAGAATGTAGGACAGGAAAAGATCTCCATTAGCCTGTCTTATTTTTTCCTAAAGCAGTCTATCCCATGCATATATATTTATTATTTGTTCTTATATGATAGGCAAAAAAAAAAAAAAGAACTTCTCATTTTAATTGCATCTTTCTTGTATTTTTAATCAGCTATAACATTTTACGTTTAATTTTAATTTTTTTAACTTAATATATTTAAATTTTAAAATATATCTTTAATATATTTTAATCTGATTATTAGTAGTTTATGACTTTTCCTCTTTTTTCTATTAGACATTTTCCCCCTTATTTCTGTGCAAAAGCTATATATGTAGAAACAAAAATGTTATATTGATGATAACATGTATATTTTTTTGTTTCAGTCTTAAATGGCAATTTCTCTAGTTGTTCATGCCTACATGTGGCATTAGTTTGGTTTAAAAAACTCACTGCCATCAAGTCGATTCTACTCATAGCAACCCCTCCTTGGGTTTCCAAAGGGGTATCTCTAGGGAAGTGGATTGCCCAATCTTCTTTCTGAGCAATGGCTGGTGGGTTTGAACCGCCAGCCTTCTGGTTAGCAGTCAAATGCCTTAGGCACTACACCACCAGATATTTTAAGAAAGTATTTTCTATTTCTATTCTCCTAATCTTGGAAAGAAGTTTAGGCAATCTACTTCCATAGTGATACTGCTTCAGAAATCCGAGGAGGGGTCACTATGAGTTGCATCCAACTCTACAGCAGTGAGCAAGCAAGTGATTCTCCTAAAAGTAGTTGGCAAAATGGAGGCTGGGTTTTTAAAAGCTCTTCCAACGTGTACTTAAAGATGATCATATGGATTTTTTTCTTTGACCTGATATGACAATGCTACTTTTCCTAATACCTCATCATCTTTGCATTCTTGGAGAAAAAAAAAAAAAATTCCTACATGGCAGACAATTACTAGTTTATGAGTTGTTAGTATTTTCTTTGGGATTTTACATCTATTGCTTTATGAGTTGGGATAATGCTAGGGGCTACAGAAACCACAAAATGTTGGTGGCTTGACCACCTGGGAAACCTTAGGAGGCGTGGCTATGAGTCAGATCTGGCTCAAAGGCAGTGGGGTGTTTTTTTGTTTGTTTGTTTGTTTTGACAATAGAAATTCATTTCTTGCTCATCAATAGTCAATAGTCTGGGGAGAGGGCCTTTCCTTTGGCAATTCTTTCAATACAGACTCATTCCATCCTGCTACTCTACCATCCACTAGAGCAGAGGTCCAAACTCTTAAAAGAACAGACAGTAAATATGTTAGGCTGTGGGTTGGCCACAGGGTAAAAAGTTGATTGAAGAGAGACAGGACAGAGTCAGAGTTCCATTAGGATGCTTATTCAATGAGAGCTGATGAAAGCCTAAACAAGAGTCATAGATGTGGGTGTGGGAAAAAGAGGATCTGAGAGATCATTGATTTGGAAAGATTAAGTGTTGGATAGAACAAGATGGTTTAGACAAAGGGAAGAGGCAAAGGTGACACCAAACTTTCTCTCTTGGGAAAATGAAAGTACCATTTATTTGTCAACATAGAGGACATGAGTGGGAAAATGAGACTTTGTGATTATTGCTGGGAATAACTATTATTGCTGGGGAAAAAAAAGATTTTGGGAAAAGTAATAAATTCTTGTCATTCTTATTTGAATTGTTGACATTGAAAGGCCCACAGGAAATCCATGGAGAGTGATTACACAGTGGGCTCTGTGGTCTAAAGTTCAGGAAAGAGGTCTAGAGCTCTAGACCTGGGAGTTTTCTGCACTTAAGGGAATTTCAACTAAAGCTTGCCCTTTGCTTCATATATATCTTCACTTAACAAATATTTATTATCTTCTAGTGGAAGAAACTCATCTAGGTGTTTGAGGCACATCTGGGGGAAAAAGGAAAAAAAAAAAAAAACTACCGTCAAGTCAATTCTGACTCATAGCAACCCTATAGAACACAGTAGAACTACCCATAGACTTACCAAGCCTGTAATGTTTACAGAAGCAAACTGCCACCTCTCTCTCCCATGGATCAGCTGGTGTGTTTGAACCTCTGACCTTTCAGTTAGCTGCCCAATACTTAACCACTGTACCACCAGGGCTCCTTCTGAGAAACAGCAGTGAACAAAATATACTAAGATTCCTGATCTAATGGAGCTTACATTCTAGTGTGGGAGATGTAGACAATAAAGAAAAACATAATAAACAAGTAAATAATTATTTTGCTAAAAGTGATAAATGCTATTTTAAAAAGAAGAAATAAAGCAGAATATTAAGAATCATGTTCCAGAGGGTGATGTATAAAAAGAGACCAAAAAAACAAACTCACTGCCATTGAAATGATTCTGACTCATAGCAACCCCCATAGGGGTTTCCAAGGCTGTAAATCTTTATGGAGGTAGATTGTCTCATCTTCTTCCTGTGGAGCAGCTGGTGGGTTTGAACCACTGACCTTCTGGTTAGCAGACAAATACCTTACCCACTGTGCCACCAGAGCTCCTATAAAAAGAGAAGACAGCTACAAATGAGACTCTCACATACAGTAAGATAAAGGCAAGGGAATTAGTGAACAATAAAGAAACAACTGGCTAGAGAAATATATGGAGCTTGTTAATTGACCTAATTCAAAGAAAGTCCAGAAGCAGAAGTGGACACCAGTAATAAGAAATGAGCACCTATTACTCAGCACCTGAAATCAGCATCTTTTGTGATGTTCTGTCAGATGTGCATAAGTTTTATGGAAAAGGTGGCAACATAATATGAAATGTCATAAAGACAGAGGGGTTCTACTGGTGATGATAATCCAGGCTCATTCTTTTACTTGCTACTTCTTTTGACCAAACTGACTCCTTGCTGAGGTGATGACCACTGTTGTGGCTGTGCTGTGTATCATTTTCCTGGCCTTTGTGTATTTTCTGTCCTCTATCCATGTGCCTTCCCAGATGTGTTTACATTTTCTGGTCCCCTCTGCAGTTGTTTCCATGATTCTGACAAGTTCTGAGCAGAGTGCTCAGTCATTATTTTCCTTTCTTTAAATTTTATTGTTATTGTTAGCTGCCACTGAGTCAGCCCCTGACTCATGGTGACCCCATGCACAATGAGATCGCACCACTGTAATCCTTAGTGTTTTCCTTGGCTGATCTTCAAAAGTACATCACCAGGCCTTTCTTCCTAGGCCATCTTAATCTAGAAG